ATGTTTGCTAGGCCCACTTACTCTCTTATCTTATGTCTTGTACACATCACAAAACTGTACATCTCATCAAATATTATTATTAGTTTATTACTATGAAGCTTATTTGTTTAGACTTGGAGAAGGCTATAACCAAAATATATGTATACAAATATTGTTCATACAAAAAATTTGGTTTTTTTGTCTTTCTACGTTTGTAAATATTGTCGTCTCCTCTTCTCTCTCACAAGTTGTGTTGTTATAAAATGCAACAAAAAGAATGATTCATTTACATAAATTTTGTTTATAACGAAAGTGACATTGTATCTAGATCGAATTTATGGTATGGTCATCAAAGTACCATTCTCTGGCTCTAAGGATTTGTTGTCTTCAAAATTTATATGAAAAGGGCCTACAAAAAAAATATATACTTTACTAAAAAGGCTTTTGATTTATTATTGGGCCGAGTCCAACCATACTAGGCTCATTGGTTTTGACCAAAATCAGATTTAAATAGGAAAAAGAAAATACAGAGATTTTAATTACACAAGTGTTTGGTCCCTTTGGGCATAATAACATTGGTTTCTCTTCAATTTTAAAGGTTAAAGAAAAAGTTGCAGAGAATGGAGAGAGTGATGAACATCATAAAGCCGAAGCCTGATCCGAAGCAACTCTTGCGTGATTGGCAACGCAAACTCCGACAGGAATCTCGTAACATCGAACGCCAAATCCGAGGTTCTTCTCTTGTTTTGATCAGATATTTTGTCGTGTGTGAATTTAGGGGTTTTTTTTAGATTCAGTCATTATTTTGTGAAATTCGATGAATCTAGTCTGTTTTAGATTGATGGGTTTCGGTTAATTGAGAAATTATTCTGAATCGGGTTTGGGAATCGAATGATGATCACGAATCAAAGAGTGTGGATTTTGATTTCTGCTGATTCAAAATTTACCAATTTGAATCGTATTGGTTTAGGGTTGAATCTATGAATTATGTAATTTCTGATTTTGGAAGTTTTTTTTTCCAGATATACAGAAAGAAGAGAGAAACGTACAGAAAGCTATTAAAGAAGCTGCAAAGAGGAATGATATGGTTTCAGCTAAGGTAGAACCGAAAGAATCACTCTTTAGTTCCAAGAATTGCTTTAATTTTCCAATCGAATTTTGATATTGGAGTTCTTGTTATTGGGTTTTATAACAATTCTGGAAAAAGTCTTGCCTTTTTCTTCTGAAAACTAAACCTCCTCTAAGCTTGGATTCAGTAAAATGTGATAATTAGTTGTCGAAAAGTAGATTTTTTGTTTGGAATCTTTGGCTCTTTTCAATGTGTCTCTCATTTCTTTCTGTGGTGTTAGTGAAAGATCACTCTT